GTGCGATCATCCCCCTTGCGCGGAGTGAGGGTTCTCCACCCCGCACAACATGATCTACTCGACCATCATTATCGTTGCCGAGTTCACGAAGTGAATTGGCTTGTTTTACCACGTCGTTGCCAAGCGACGAAAACCCAACCCCGATGGCAATGGGGGGCGAGTGATGGGAGAAAAAAAAAAAAAGTCAAAAGGTACACCCTGGGCAGGGGCATTGTTGGAATAAAAAAGGCTGGGAGTCGGCGAGAAAATAATTGTTTATTGCTGAACACCACCACACAGCACGGAAAATACCTGATGGACACTTCAAATTCACCTGGTGACTCTTGTTTACCCCTGGGGGAGCGCACGCAGGAACTCTCCTGCGTTACTCTCTACTGGAGCGCCGTTCAGACACAAGCACACAATACGGCGTATGGCCGACAAACCGCAAACACTCATCGCTACGACTTCTGACATTCCGTGCACTCCCTCTGCTGTCCGTAGCCTTCCTTCCCGATGCCGCGACCACAAAACGCGTGCACCCATCGACCGCACGGGCATGTGTGGATAGCCGACACGAGCTTCGTGATCATGCACGTTGGTTCCCCACACCGTTTTAATTCAGGTGCAGAGGACGCACCGGTAGGTGAAACGAATCTTTGCATACCGCAGACAGCAGGTGAAGCAGCAGACCTCTCTGCTGGCGAAGAGGGTACGCTGAAAACGTGCTCTTAAGGGGGGTCCGCGGACTAGAATATGGACCCCGCCGTATATTTCACATTCTGCGGGGTATTGTGTTTCGGCGAAAAATTATTTCCTTTACCCGGGGAGTTTCCTTAATTTTGGTTTCCTTAAAGCGGGGTCGACTGTACATGAACAGCAGGGTGAGTTCACTTTCCCCCCATGGCCAATGATGTTGTTCTGCTACCGCTGTTGTGTCGGTCTTCATGTAGAACGGGTGCGCCCGGGTTGTGAGTCGGCATGTAGCTACATATTATTGCTGCCCTGACAACAATCTGTAAATAGAACATTGGACCATTTTGAATCCCGTGTGCAGTCAGTTTGTCACCCGCAGGCGAACTCGCCGTGCTTGTTGAGTAGCGGGCAATTCTATTTGGGATGTGTTCTATTTCGCATGTGAAATGACGTAATATACCACACCCCCTTGAACCGTTTTTCAAAGCCCGATTACCTCACGGCGACAAAGAGGATGCTACTGTCACATTATGCGTTTGCGGAAAGCTCTCCACGATATGTACGGTTTACTCCGCCATATTCGGCATCGTAACTGTTCTCGCTGCAGCGTACTCGAGCCTTGGCAATCAGCCCAAAGGGGTATTGTATCTCATGCAACCTATGTTATGTATACATGCGCATACATGGGGTACAGCAGCACTTCGTGCACACCTCTTCCACGGTGTTAAACCTGTGGATTCGATGTTGCGGGATGTTGCTTCAAGAGGCCACGTCTTTTGAAGGTGATGGGACGTGGTTTTCACGTACGATAAGTTCGACCATGTACAAGTAAGCGTGCCAACAACATATGTTCCTGCTATGCGCGTCGGCCAGTTTTCACCACGCCGGTCGCATGCATATATATATATCTTGGTTGTCGTCATGTTCTCAAAACCCATCCCGTGACGACATCCGTGGAGTTTGTCATAGGAGTATATTACAGCTGGAAAGGGTGCCTTCGCAGCAGCAGGAGCAGCAGCAGCCGCAGCAGCAGCAGCAGCAACGGTGGAAGTCACCTCGGGTCAAGGCAAACAACAACCCTGTTTGCAGGAAAATTGGTGCTGAAACGTCTGAGCACTGGTGGAAGTGTTGCGGCGGGAGTCGTACATTTATCTGTGCTTGCGCCTCTTTTTCTTCCTCGCCCCCCTGCTCCTCCCTCCTGCGCGCACTGACCTGTCCATCTTCCCCCCGCGTGCTGAATCTAGCATTCTTTTTTGAAACACGGCGGGGGCGGGGGCGTGGGCGGCGTTAAGTGACCCTCTTTCTTTGCGCTGCTTACATCAATGGCACTCCCTTTCTTCTGATGCTCCGCCAGGTTCAACCGGGTGAGCTGGGCACTGCCGCCATGGGCTGCGTCGTGCGAGCGGGGCTCAAGAAGCGCACGGGAGAAATGTGAGTGGGGGGGAGGGTCGTGTCGGGTAATCGCGTGCACTGCCATAGACGCAACGCAACTATATTGAAACGCAAGCGTTGCGGCAAACGACGTGACAACGCTAGTCGACGCCTGGCGCTTGGAGGTGCACATGGATGGGCCGCGGGCCTTCCGGATGACGGTTTGGGCACAGCAACGGTAATGTTGGTGGTGAAACCGCCAGACGAAGTAGTGTACATCTCGCAGCTAACGTCTCCTCGCGCTCCTCTCTCGCTTGACTCCGTCTGCAAACAACGATTGCGGTGTGAAAGGGGATCCTACGTCGGCAAGACTCCTCCCCCCCGTACAGCAGGCACGCCACCTTAAGGGTTATTCTTCAAGAGTTTTATTATCCCCAGACATGAAGTTCGAAGCGCTGTACGTACAACCCTCGGTTGGATCGGCAAAGTGCCGCCTCGAGTGCAAGACTCTCGCATGCTGGATTCCAATCCATCAATCAAGACTTTTTCATTCGCTCCCTACAACAGAGCTCGATAGGGGATAGACTAGGCATTGGGGAGGGGTGCAATACTCGATGACACGGGGGCAGTCTATTAATAATAGCGGAACCATAAAACGCGAACACGCTTTCGTAGTCACAGGGTTGTGTGTTTGCTCCACCCCATCGAGACCGTTGTAGGTGATGACTACCATACTGTGCTTCTTGTACGCACTCGCTATAGCACCACGACGACGCCAAAGATGAGGAGGAACAGGCTAGGCTAGCGTACGAATTCAAGAGGGAATGAACTACAGGCGTATTGAATACACAAGAACAGCCATTCGCTTTCACGCAGCAGCGTGACGTTCTTAACTGCCGTTTCAACACCTGATGGTACTGTGCACGGCACCCCCCCCTCCCCCCT